CCTGTGAAGCTGGTTCATGTCCCAGCTGCTCTGCTTCCAATCCAGCTCCCTGCTGACCGGTTCTGGAAAGAGCGGCAGTAAAGGGCCCAAGTGCTTGGGCCACTGCCATTCACGGGGAAGACCCAGAAGAAGCTCCAGCCTCCTGGTTTCCACCTGGCCCAGCCCTGGCTATTGCGGCCATCTGGGAAGTGAACCAGTAGATCAAAGATCTCCCTCGCTCACTCAAATAATTTAAATCTTTTTAAAAAATTCAATATTGGTAGACAAATCCATATTTAACCCAGATCAGGAAAAACTGAAGAGCACTAAAGTAACGTTATTTGCCAAGTGTATGACAATACAGCCACACCCAGAATGTAGAAGTTCTAATTAAAGGGTAAAACAAAATTCCATTCAGCTTCTAAAATGCAGGACAACCGTTTCTGGTTATTGGTCCTTCATGAGCACTGAGGATGTTGAATCTAAATTATGGTTTGATCACCTCACCTTAAGAAACTTTTCTAGGGCCTGCATTGTGGCACAGCAGGTTGAGCCACCACCTGAGACTTCAACAACCCATATGAGCACTGGAGTCTAGTACTGGGTACTCCAATTCCAATCCAGCTCCCTGCTAATGCACCTGGAAAAGCAGCAAAGGATGTTCTAAATCCTCGGGTCCCTGAACCACGTGGCAGACCCGGATGCAGTTCCAGGCTCATGGCTTCAGCCTGGCCCAGCACCACTGCAGCCATTTGGGAAGTGAACCAGCAGATGACGCTCTCTAAGTCTCTATCACTCTACCTTTCAAATAAACAATACAAATAATTTTTAAAGATTTATTTATTTGGGCCAGCGCCGCGGCTCAATAGGCTAATCTTCCACCTGCGGCACCAGCACCCTGGGTTCTAGTCCCAGTCAGGGCGCCGGATTCTGTCCCGGTCGCTCCTCTTTCTGTCTAGCTCTTTGCTGTGGCCCGGGAGTGCAGTGGAGGATGGCCCAAGTGCTTGGGCCCTGCACCCGCATGGGAGACCAAGAGAAGCACCTGGCTCCTGGCTTCGGATCACTGCGGTGCGCTAGCCGCAGCGGCCATTGCGGGGTAAACCAACAGAAAAAGGAAGACCTTTCTCTCTGTCTCTCTCTGTCCAAAAAAAAAAAAAAAAAAAGGTTTATTTGAAAGTCAGAATTAGAGAAAGACATCTTCCATCTGCCGGTTCACTCCCTAAATGCCTGCCAACAGCCAGGGCTGGGCCAGGCTGAAGCCAGGAGCTTCATCCAGGTCTCCCACGTGGGTGCAGGGGCCCAAGGACTTGGTCCATCCTCTGCTGCTTTCCCAGGCGCATTAGCAGGTAGCTGGATCGGAAGTGGTACAGCCAGGACACGAACCATATGAGATACCAGTGCTGCAGACAGCAGTTTAACCCACCACACCATATCACTAGTTCCATAAAGTAAATCTTAAAAAAAAAAAAAAAAAAAAAAAGTACTAACTGAAGAGAGAGATCCAGCATGGCAAACTGGAGCTGGCATTGTGGTTTGCGGTGGTAGCAGGAAAAGCTGCAGCCTGAAATGTCAGCATCCCATGTGAGCGCTGGTTCAGACCCGGCTGCTCCACTTTGGATCCAACTCCCCGCTAACGGCCTGTGAAAAGCAGTGCACGATGGCCTAAGAGCTTGCTCCTCTGCTACCCAGGTGAAAGACCTGGATGAAGCTGCTGGCTCTTTGTTTTAGCCTGGCTCAGCCCCAGCCGTTGTTGCCATTTAGGGTGTGAAACAGCAAATGGAAGATCTCTCTCTCTGCACTCCATGTATTAAATAAGTAAATCTTAAAAAAAAAAAAAAACTCAGCAAATTATAAAATCTACTTTAGCAAACACTCTCCTGTGTCATTTTCAGTTATAAAAATATTTAAAATCGCTTCGCTCTCAATTCAGTAAAACTTTCCATTAACTTTCCATTTGTGCACTGCTCTCCTCTGGAGGAGATAGAATATGGCTAAAACTGTTATCATTGCACAGCCTGTAAACCACTGAAGCTGCTGCAAAATGCCCATCTCATATTATTGCTCAGATATGGTTATATCTGACCCATTTATACTGCCTTCTGCTACTCATATGTGTCACACACCCACACTGATGGGATGCCAAACAGACTTAACAAAGTAGGCCTTTCACCGAGTATTTATCATTTTATCTTCCAATGTTTGTTAAAACTGGTGCAAGTTAAATAAGCTTCATGGCTTTGTCTTATGAATTATTTAAGTGCTAGAATTTTATCTGATTCAATACTCAAGAAAGAACCATTACATGCACTGGATTTCAGCTTCCACTAGATCTAGTCTAAAAATTTAACTACTGCTTCAAAACAGGGCAGGTATAAGGAAAGAGAAGTCTACAACTTGATAGACAAGCTTTAGTAACTAAAACACTAAAAAAGCAGGTTGTCACCTTTTAATGATAAAAATCCTTAAATTTTAGAAAAAATGAATTTTAAATTTTCCCCTTTTGATTACTTCATGTGAAAATTATCTTTCAAACTGAATTAAAACAATGTATAATACTGACCAGTTAGGATTACAAACATTTCTCTTGAATGGGAAAGTTTAAAAACAAAAGGAAAATCATGTGGTTACTTTCCATTGTAACATGGTAGGAAAATGTACAGAACAGTTAATTCACTAAACGTAATTTTCTACTTGCAGGCTAATGAATAATAAAAAAAGAAAGATAAATTCAGTAAACTAGTCATCCTCTTCCTAAGAGCACTGGGACTATTTCTCATCCTTGCCCATGTCACACAGTCCTTGAATGCTGACAGTACCCATAGAGTAGTAGAGGGAGAGGTCATGTGAGAAAAAAATCCCTCATTTCTAGGGCTCAAGATCATATAAGCTACTTAGAATATCACAATCATGAATACACACTGTACAGAATGCATGCCCATCTCTTCTCAAACTTCACCACTGAACTGTTGATAAAAGCTAGAACGTACACTGTTAAACGCTGTCCTCTTTCTAGGAACTGCAAAGAATTTGTTAGGTTGTTAATAAAGCTGGTTGCCATCAGGCCCAGCTTTAAAGAACTGCCAAGGCCCCCCAAAATTCCCAGATGCTCACACTTGCTATCTTACTCTCTCCTCACCTTATTAAGATGACTTTCACTAGTTTTCTCTGTGAAAATATACATTAAAAGCTCAGCTTCTGAAAATGCTGAGGTAAGAATTTGCCACCTTTAAAGTATCACAATCAAATGTACAGATATATCTCAAAGTAAAATACAGCCACAAGTGAAAATCTACTTTATGCTGTTAAAAAGAACATTCCTTAGAACAATTATATTTAGAAGACTTTATTAAAGCAATGCAAAACCAAAATGATTTGAAAATTGGGCAGCTCCCAGGACAAGAAGAGTTCTGAAAAAACCAACCAACAAAAGCAAGTCATTGAGACAGTGCAACTTACTGCCTGCAGCCCAGTCAGGCAGTTTGTTACAGTGTAAAGAGCGGTTTACAGCCTAATCAGTCAATGGGCTACAAGGCCTTCTGCAACCAACTTCAGTTTATTGTGATTAAATTCTATACTGTTCTGGTCTGTTAGGCCCAGCACAGGCACCTGGTCCAAATCCATGGTCTCCCACAAAAATACTAACAATACGTTGCACCACGTTATTACTCAAAAGAAACTGGCTGTATTCTTCTGCTCAGTTGTTGGTTCTTAAACAGCACATTTCCCTTTGTTTTAGGGAAACAAAACATGGTGGGGAAGGAACATTTTTATAGAAATAATACCCCTGGCTGTTCTGAGTCACCGGTCTTAAGTACTGCGAGAATTGCACCTGCAAAAATGAACAGCCTCCACAAAGCTCAGCCACCCACAACAAATCTCTGATTTACAAGGAGACATTTAGCAAGTGTCCTAGGAAAAAGGATGCTCACAAAATCCTATGCTGAGCTACAACAGTTTTAAGTTGATCTACTCAACTTGAGGCAGTTAACTAACTGAATACCAATGGCTCAATGCTGCGCAAAAGTTGCTCTGCCTGGAAGAAATTAAAAAGTTAAATTTTAAAAAAATGTTACTGAACTTTCTCCAGTTTTTTCCCTCCGTAGATTGTAGCTAGAGCCCACCTAGCAGTTCAGAATTAAGTGGATTTTATGAGATTTACAATCTTGGCTGAAGAATTCCAAATTTACACCTACTACCGTGCCGCAAAAAATAATATCACAATACGAACACCCATAGCCCTCAAAACAATAAAAGTATTTTTCCGTAACACTGAGTAAACAAGAGATGCTCCAAACTCGATATTCATAATGCATCTTCTAAGGTGCAAATACTGAAGTTTTCCCTTGTTTTAAAGTTGACTTTATTATCAACTAGAGACAGAAACTTAATCGCTTCACTTGCAACATCCAGGCAGCCTTGTCGAACTTCACGCCACCCTGCCAACAGTTCATCCTTGCAACCTTCTGCCTCATAAAGACAAGTCTGACCCCTGCAAACTAAGCCTAACTGAATCACGACACCCCCTGGTGCTCATCAGCGCCGCGAGGTAAGCGAACCGCTCCCGTCCCTACAGTGCATCTGGCTCGGCTACGGTTTCTGAATCCCCCTCCCTATTCTTCCACGCTCACTGAGCCGACCACACGATGCACAGTGAACCCGGTCACATGAGCGACGCGTGACTCCCATCGTGCATCAGCCCTCCTCTTGTCACAAAGAAGCTAAAAGTTAGGACGCGCACACCAGAAGTACTGCGAGCCCGCGGCGGCAGCCTCGGCAGGTGCGGCGTGCGGCGCGGGAAGTCGCGGCACCCCGAGTGCGAGCGAGAGACGCCGTCGTTCTGCGGCTTCCCGCGACCTGCCACGGCGCTGCGGCGGCCCGCGGCCACCGAGAAGCCCAGCGTGGCGGAGCCGCCCGGGAGGCGGGCGCCCACCCCCCAGCGGGCGCGGAGGACCTCCCCGAGCACCACGCGGGCCCGAGTCCTGGCCCGGGACTCCGGCGGACGTCCGCCGCGGGAAACTGACCTACGCGGCCACTCGGGCTCCCGGGGCTCCTGAGGCGGGGGCCACGAGCTCACGCTTCACTTCTACCCGCCCCACGCCGAGGAAGCGGCCGTCGCCGACTCTCGCTGGCACTCCCCCGAATACCCAGGGGCCCTGCGCAACGACGGTCTCCAGCGTCCGGGTGCCCAGAACCGGGTGGCGTGAGGTGGCCCGCTCAGCGAGGCGTCACCGCCCCTCCCCAGCCGCTGGCTCCAGCAGCGCGCGCGCGCGTCCGCCTTCCGAGTTTGTTGGCGCCCGGCCCGACACGTGACTGGCGCGCGGGGCCACACCCCCGCCCAGGCACGCCCCGCCCTTGCGCCGCTCCTATTGGTCCTGGGCCGGCCACGCCCGTTTCAGTTTTCGGCCGCAGCTACTTTGATGAGCCTAAACCTCTGGGCTTCTCCAACCTCATCCCGAGAGGAAGAAGTCGCCGACCCTACTTGGAGCGCACCGAAGAGCTGCGCTTGTTGGGGAGAGGAACGACCTTCCTATCCCTCCCCCCCCCCCCCAGCTGAAGCAAATGAAAATACTGGCTTAATATTCTGGAAATTCGTTATTAAACAAATATATAATCCAGCTACCCAGATTTTTTTCTGTTTTGCATTGATGCCCCTTGTTCAGCTCGGATGCACAGTAGGTGGAGAAGTTAGCACAGTGTCCCTGTGTAAAGATTCGATTTTTACAGCTTTTTAAAGATTTCTGCCTAACAAGAAAGGAGGAATAACAAGCACATGGATTTTTTCTCATTTCTTGAGTTGTCCAAATGTACTCAATATGTACAATTAACTTTCAGTGGAAAGCTAATAGGTATCATTTTTAAAAGCACTGTAGTTTTTTTTTTTCTTGTTAATTCAAGTTCTTTTTTTAGTTGAGAAACAGAGAACTTAAAATAGGCCAATTGGCCATTGCACTACCTGTAACACGTCACGTGGCAGGTGTTTTAGAGTGATGTCTTTGGAAAATAAAAGCAGTCTCGCTTGTGTATCCCAGGCTAGCATCATCTTTTATTCATAAATCATCTTTTATTCATAAATTAGGCACTTAACTAACAATACTTGAGCTCCAAAACATGTGGTAATTACAGTAGCTGTGTTTGCCTTGGAAAGAAGAACCCTCAGGCTTGTTTTGTCTAAAGGTTGCTGCGCCATCTTCACAGCTGAAATCAATGATTTTCTCTGTGGTCCCATGGCAGTCTTCATCCTCACTCTGATGGCTGAATTAGCGAAATTCATGGCTTTTACTTTGTCACTCCCTTTTTCAATTAGTAAACAAAAAACAGGTTCCCCAATAGGAAGCTGCAGTATTAATTGTTACAATTACTAATGAGACAGGTTCCAATCCCAGTAGGATGATTGTGCTATATTTTAACAGGGTTTTCTTTGATATGTACATAACGAATATCAAGGAAAAAATAGCCCCTTGGCACTTTTGGCTAGTACACAATAAAAGTGTAAAAGAACTCAACTATTTTAGAACATCACTGCCCTATAGAACTTACTGCAATGCTGGAAGTATTTTGTTTTGTTTAATATGTATTTATTTATTTGAAAGGCAGAGTTACAGAAAGAGAGAGAAAGAAGGGAGAGATCTTCTATCCACTGGGCCATCCTCAAATACCTACAACTGCCAAGACTGGGCCAGGCTGAAGCCAGGAGCTAGAAACTTCATCAGTGTCTTCCACGCAGGTAGTAAAGGGCCCAAGCACTTGGGCCATCTGCTACTTTCCCAGGCACATTAGTAGGGAACGGGCGCAGAAGCAGAGCAAGCAGGACCTGAACCATCACTTGTATGGGATGTCTGCATTGCAGGGGGTGGCTTAAACCGCAGTGTCACAGCACCAGCCTCAGATGGAAATTTTCTATAATTCTATCTTGTCTGGTGCAGTAGCCACTAGTCACATGTGGCTATTGAGCACTTGAAATGTGGCTTGGATGACTCAACAATTTGAATTTGTTTCATTTTGGTTAATTTTTTTAATTTTCAATATATTTAAAAGGCATGGGGTTATGTGAGTGGGTGGGGGGCGGTGTTCCAGTGTTCCATCTGCTGGTTTACTTCCCCAAATGCCCACAACAGCTGAGACCTGATGAACAGCCATCACCTTGCTGCCACATAGGGTGTGCACTAACAGGGAGCTAGAATCAGAATCAGAGTTGGGACTTAAACTCAGGCACTCCAGTGTGGGATACAGGCATCCCAAGTGGAGTCTTAACTATAGAACCAAATGCCTGCCCCTTAAACAGCCACATATGGCAAGCAGTTACCATATTGGTCATTTTTGTTCTAGAATAACAAAGTGATCACTGTATTGTCCTCAGTTGTGCCAGGCTCCATTTTGAGAGATGCTTAACAGAAATAGGACCTCTAGAATCAATAAATGTTTTCCTTCGTAGTGCAGTAGATATTTTAACTTTGCAAATGAAGCATGTTACAGTAGGAATGCCTATCTTCAATGTATGTAAGGAGGAGTCGAAAAGGAGGCTATAGAAGGGCGGGAAGGGGATTTAGAAGTAACTCACCCTTGTCCTGCCCTTCCCATGCCTGCTAGACTCCAGCCAGGTTGCTGCAGACCAGGAAGGACTTTATCACAATTGCCCATGGCCTGGATCAGGCTGGATTCAGCCTAGGTTCTTCTGGTTGTCTCAGGAATTTTGGGAGCCCACACCACTCTACCACTCTTCCCTCCCAACATCCCAGTGGTCCCTCCCAAACATGATTCTGCTCACATGACAGTACGTGATGTTTGTGTCCCTGCAGTTTTGCCTCCAACCTGAGACACCCCAGGATGCCGTTGGCACGTTGCATGTTTTAAAAGCACGCCCTGGTGCCAATGAGACTGTGAAGTGGTGCAGGAAGGCTTGTTAAGTCTTATTAAGAGAAGGATTTTATGGACTGAGACATTGGGGAGAGCTTTGGGTAATTACTGCATGGAATGCTGAAAAGTAGGTCAAATGTCATCAGGCAAACCCAGATAAATTGTTGACTTGGGAGAAATTAACCAGACCCTATACCTGTATATTATGTACTTTGCGGTCATTATTAACTCCAGACCATCAAACTGTAGATCAGTGAGAAATTTTCTCTTAAAAGCTTTCTAAAATTTTGTGTCATCTGTGCCATTATACCCAGTTTATTTAATAACAGAAATGAGTTGGTACATTTTAAGATATTAAATTCTTTTGATCTAGGGGCTGGCACTGTGGCACAGCAGGTTAAGCCACCATCACCAACATCCCACATCAGAGCAACTGTGTGAGTCCTGGCTGCTCTGCTTCCAATCTGGCTCTCAGATAACGTGCCTAGGAAAGTATGAAAGATAGCCCAAGTGCTTGGGCCCCTGTCACACACGTGGGAGACCTGGTAGAGTTCCAGTCTCCTGGCTCCAGCCTGGCCAAGCCCTGGCTGTTGAGGCCATTTGAGAAGTGAACTAGTAGTTGGAAGATCTCTTTTTCCTCCTCTCTCTGTCTCTCTGCCTTTCAAATAAATAAGTCTTTAAAAGGAAATTCATTTGATCTATATTTAATTCTGTACCTGCCTCTCCTCCTAGGAGGTAACACACAGTTATCTAAGCAACTGCTTTCCACCACTGATTGCTTTTGTTGGCTCCCCACATGAACAGTTGAGAAAGAACCCCTATGTGGAGTTTCTTAGTTTCATGCAACAAGCATTAACACTGGCTAACTTAAACAAACAGGGAATGTGTTGCACAGACACCAAACAGCTGGCAATCGGCTGGCACAGGCTGCAGTAAGGCTCTTCCTGGGAGCTGGGCAGGAGAAACCAGCCTACAGCATCTCCAGGGTGCCCCTGCGGAGAAACAATATGCTCCGTGATTTCTGTTTTCCTATCCTTTTGTCTTTCTTCAGAAGAGGCTAAGTTGAGCGACAAAGATTCATACTTTTCCCATGAGGCATGGGCTCCTTGGGTGACATTTCTAGCTCAGCCTATAGCTCCTAGCTCTATTCATCATGAACATTCCTTAATTTTCCATCTGTAATTGATCAGACAGAGTTCCGGACAGCTACCCCAACCCTTCTTGGAAGCCTCAGCCAATCTCTTTTGCCCTTCTCTTTCTCTCTCTCTCTCTCTTTTTTTTTTTTTAAATGTGACAGAGTTAGACAGTGAGAGAGAGAGACAGAGAGAAAGGTCTTCCTTTATTGGTTCAACCCCCCAAAATGGCTGCTGCAGCCGAGCTACACCCATCCGAAGCCAGGAGCCAGGTGCTTCTTTGTGGTCTCCCATACGGGTGCAGGGGCCCAAGCACCTGGACCATCTTCCACTGCCTTCCTGGGCCACAGCAGAGAGCTAGACTGGAAGAGGAGCAACCAGGACTGGAACCCAGCACCCATATGGGATGCCAGCACCGCAGGCGGAGGATTAACCAAGTGAGCCACAGCGCTGGCCCCCTCTTTCTTTCTCTATTTATTTGAAAGGCAGAGTTATGGGGGGGGGTGAGAGGGAGAAAGAGGGGGAGAGAGAGGGGGAGAGGGAGGGGGAGACATCTTCCTTCTGCTGGCTCACTCCCCAAATGGCCACGGGGCGAGAGGGAGGGGCGAGAGAGAGAGGGAGGGGGAGAGGGTGCATTAGCAGGGAGCTAGATTGAAAATGGAGCAGCCAGGTCTTGAACCAGTGCCCATATGGAATGCTGGCACCACAGGCTGTGGTTTAATCTGTTATGCCACAATGCCAGCCCCCAACATAGTAAATTTAAGTGATTCAGTGAGAATCTAAAACTATGAGAGTATACTTCAGGCAAGAGCTCAGGGTTAGGAAAAGGTTTCTGAATCATCCATAAATGTCTGCTGTTGTACAGGATTATCAATGGAAAGAAGACCAGACATATAAAGTTGTACCAGGGCATAGAATTTGTTATTCCTTGTTAATACGTCACTTCATTGATCAATAAATGGATGTTAACTGAGTAATGACATTATTATGTGAGTGGATACACCTGTAAGAGGCAATGTTTTAGGCCTAGTGAAAGATGAAAGGTAAATCTAATAACACTCATTGTCTTCAAGGACTTAATCTGCTGTAGTGCAGGTAAGACAATATAAAACATGTAGTTTAGGTGGCAGGCATTTGGCTTAGCAGTTAAGATGGTGCTTGCAACACTGCATCCCGTGTTGGAGACGCAAAGTTCAAGAACCAGCTCCACTTCTTTTCTTTTTAAAGAGAGAGAGAGAGAGAGAGAGAGAGAGAGAGAGAGAGAGATATCTTCTGTCTGCTGGTTCACTCCCCAAATGGTTGCAAAAGCCAGGCTTGGGGTAAGCCAAAGCCAGGAGCATCATCCATGTATCCCATGTGAGTGGCAGAGGCCCAAGCACTTGGGCTATCTTCTGCTGCTTTCCCAGGCACATTAGCAGGCAGCTGCATCAGAACTGGATCAGTCAGGGGGCCGGCACTGTGGCTTAGCGGGTAAAGCCACTGCCTGCAGTGCCTGCATCCCATATGGGGGCCGGTTTGAGTCCTGGCTGCTCCACTTCCAATCCAGCTCTCTGCTATGGCCTGGTTAGGTACACTACCTTTTGGCCTTTGATTAATCCTGCTCTTCAGTTCACCCCTACCTACATCTCCCACTTGGATTCTGATGTGTGGGAAGACAAGACTCAGTCTAGCTGGGGGTCTCTCTGAGCCCAGTCAGGGCTCTGAATCCCTACAACATAACTAGGGGTCCCCTCCCATACAACACTTCCTCCCCGTATGGGGCAAGGCCCCTTCTGGAGCAAGGCTGTCTCAGAAAAGGTGGGTCTGAGAACTCCTTCATCACCAGCTTTGACATAGAAAAGGGGGGAAAGAATAGGGTAGTATTTCTAGGCTCTACGCCTGGCTTTGGGGGAGAGGGCTTCTTGTTTCTGAGACCTGCCTTGGGGAGAAGAAAGAAGGACAGAGAAAGGAACATCTTTCTTCTGAGCCCCTTTCATTCAGTTGAAAGCACTCAGCCTGCCATGGTGCCATACTTTGGGGTGTCAGGTGGTGACCAAGCAGGTGGGCAGGGCAAGGGCCCTTGCTCTTATGGGATCACACCACAGCTGCATGACCAAGCACCGGCTGGATTCTCTGGAGGGCACAACAGTTTCTGTCCTTCCCTCATGAGTCCTGGGTCGATGCTGCAGAAACAGGTAACTGAAGGGGCCTGTGTGATCCCCGAGTGTGGAGAACAGCTTCAGGGTGCAGATGTGAGGTCCAGCAAGGAGATACCATCATATGCTCCTCCCTTTAGCGGTGATTTGAAGCTGGGAGGCTTGTGGGAAGTGGCCTAGGGAGAAAGAAGAGCAGTGTAAAGAAAGGGGCCGGGCCTTTGTGTCCTGCCCTCCCCGAAGCTCCCCTCCACCCTGTCAACAGATGACCCCACCTCAACAAACCTGGCCGATGAGAGCCCCCCGCATGTATTACCACCACCCAACAAACTCACCTACCCCCATATCCTTTCTTCCTTTTCCTCTCTGCTCAAACGCAGGCGGGACCCCTGCTGTCTAGAGCTGGAGCCACCACCACCATTCCTGATACCTCCTTCAACCTCCTCAATCGTCTCACCCCAACAACTCTCTCTCTCCCCTAGATCTTCAAGAGTTCTCAAAATGGACCTGCTGTGTGAATGCCCTCTCATCTCTGCCATCTTTTAAGAACCCTCCTGGGGACCGCATTATGACGTACTAGGCTAAACCTCCGCCTGCAGTGCCGGCATCCCATATGGGTACTGGTTCGAGTCCCGGTTGATCCACTTCTGATCCAGCTCTCTGCTAATGGCCTGGGAAAGCAGTGGATGATGGCACAAGTCCTTGGGCCTCTGCACCCACATGGGAGACCCAGAAGAAGCTCCTGGCTCCTGGCTCCAGATTGGCCCAGCTCTGGCTGTTGCGACCATTTGGGGAGTGAAACAGCAGATGGAAGACCTCTCAGTCTCTTCCTCTCTCTAACTGTAACTCTGCCTCTCAAAAAATAAAATAAAATAAAATAAAATAAAATAAAATAAAATAACCCTCCTGCCAAATAGTGCCCCTTCTCTTTCCTCCTCCAGGGTGAAGCCACGTGAAAGCGATCTTTACTGGCTCACTCTATTTCCTCTCCACACTCTCTTATTCTCTGTCCACTCTGGCTTCTGTTACCACTGACTCATTGAAACCCCTTCGGCGGAGCACACCAAAAAAGGCTTCCTTATTGCAAAACCCAATGCTGTCACGTTGTTTGACCTTTCAGCAGCATTTCACACCACCCTCGCCTTCCCTCCTGAGAAAGCGCTTCCTTTGGTTTCCCTGTGATCCTTGTCCTTGGCCCTTCCCTCGAAAGTCGCAAGTTCTGCCGTAAGCCCTGCTCATGCTCATCACTCCTTAGGCGAGCTCAGGTGCTCCCTTGGCTGTAGTAGCTCTTCCTGCTCATGTCTCCAAAATCCGTATCAGGTCCCACCACCACTCCTGAGATCTGACCCACACATCTGTTCATCAAACAATACATCCAGAGGGCTATTTCTGCACCCCCCACATTCTTTTCTCTATAAATTCTTTAAAAACATATTTTATCATTTTATTATCAATTTTTTTTTGCTAACAAACATGTAATACTTGTACATTTTTATGGAGTAAAATGCAATTTTTCAACACATACCCACAGCATAAACAGATCCAGCCAGGCAACTAGTCTTTCATTTCCTTACATTTCTTTGTGTTTGGAGCCTACCAGCTCCTCTTTCAACAGCTTGGAATACATCATTCTTTATACAGCTTGGAATACATCATTGTGACCTATAGCTGCCCTACTGAGCTGTGCAACACTTGAACTTGTTACTCGGATGCAATTGTGTTTTGTTACTAGTTATCCAACCTTGCTCAACCCCTTCCCCCATCCTACTCAGTCTATTAATCACTAACCAAGGGGCCTATAAAGTGGCGCAGCAAATAAAGCCTCTACCTGCTGTGCTGGTATCCTGTATAGGCTCTCATTCAAGCCCCGGCTGCTCCCTTTTCTATCCAGCTCCCTGCTAATGTGCCTAGGAAAGTAGTGGAAGATGGCCCAAGTCCTTTGGCCCCTGCACCCAGGTGAGAGACCTGAAAGAAGCTCCTGGCTCCTGATCAGCCCAGCTCTGGCCATTGTGGCCACTTGGGGAGTGAACCAGCAGATGGAAGCTCACTCGCTCTCTCTCTCTCTCTCTCCCTCTCTCCCCTTGCCTCTGCCTCTGTAACTCTGCCTTTCAAATAAATAAAGCTTTAAAAAAAAATCACTAATTTTTTTGACTTTCATATATGGGAGAGAATATGTAGTGTTTGTCTTTTCGTGTCTGGCTTATTTAACAATAAATTCTCTGGTTTTATAAATTTTGCTGCAAATGACATAATTTCATTGTTTTATGACTGAATAACATTCCACTGTGTATATAGAGCACATTTTCTTTATCCACTCATCCACTGTTGGACACCTATGTCTATTCTGTTTTGGTTACTGGGAATAATGCTGCAATGAACGTGGGAGTGCAGATCTCTCTTTCATATGCTGATTTCACATCTGTTGGCTGTAAACCCAGAAATGGGAAAGCTGGGGCACAGGGTGGTCCTATTTTAAGTTTACTGAGAAACTTCAACACTATTTTCCATAACAGCTATACTAATTTGCTGTCCTACCAACAGCATATACAGGTTCCATTTTCTCTACATCTTCACCAGCATTTGTTGTTGTTGTTGTTGTTTTTTAATTTTCATCTCCCTGAAAGCAACATCAGAGACAGAGACATTTTCTATCTGCTAGTTTACTTCTTAAATGCCCTCAACAGCCAGGAGCCAGGACTCTATCCAGGTCTCTCACATAGGTGGCAGGGGCACAAGCACTTCAGTCATTATTTGCTGCATCCCAGGTTGCATTAGCAGAAAGCTGGATCAGAAGCAGAGTTGCTGGGATTCCACCGGACTCTCCCATATGAGATGGATGTCGCAAGTGGTGGCTTAACCTGCTTCGCCACCATATCATGCCAGCCCCATTTGTCTTTTTGATAATAACCGTTCTAACTGGATTGAGATACTAACATATTGTAGTTTTGCTTTGCATTGCCCTGATTATGATATTGAGCATTTTTTCAGGGTTTTTTTTGTTTTTTTTTTTTTTTTTTTTTTTGCCAGTTGTATTTCTTTCGCTCTCTCTCTTTTAAAGATTTTGCTTATTTATTTGAGAGGTAGGGTCACAGAAAGTAAGAGGGAGAGACAGAGAGAAAGGTCTTCCATTCACTGGTTCACTCCCTCCCCAACTGGCCACAACAGCTGGAGCTGCGCCAATCCAAAGCCAGGAGCTTCTTCTGGGTCTCCCACATGCGTGCAGGGGCCCAAGCACTTGGGCTGTCTTCTACTGCTTTTCCAGGCCATAACAGAGAGCTAGATTAGAAGGGGAGCAGCTGGGACTAGAATAGCCATCCATATGGATGCTGGTGCCACAGGTGGAGGATTAACCTACTGTGCCACAGCATTGATTGACCCCTGTATTTCTTTTCTTTTCTTTTTTTTTTGAAACATTTCTATTTAGATCCTTTGCCCATTTCTTAACTGGATTATTTGTTTTCTTGTTGCTGTTAACTTTTTTGATTCCTTATCTATTCCAAATATTAATCCTTTGTTGGCTAAATAGCTTGCAGATGTATATTCTTTTTCCTGAAATTAAGCACTTTTTTAAGAGTAAAAAATTTTAATAGAGATTTGTTTTATTTATTTAAAAAGCAGAGTGAGAGAGAGATAGAGCTCTCCATCCACTGATTCACTTCCCAAATAGCCAACAGTTAGGGCTGGGACAGGCTGAAGCCTGGAGCCAGGAACTCCATGTGAGTTTCCCTCGTGGGTGGCAGGGGCCCAAGTACTTGGGCCATCTTTTGCTGCTTCCCCAGGAGCATTAGCAGGGCACTGGATTGCAAGTGGAGCAGCTGGGACTTGAAATGCGGTTCTGATATACCTTCCTAGCCTCTTTGGAAATGAATCCTATAGTGTGTTGTACATAACACAAAATAAGCACTCAATAATTATTGAATTCAACCAAACTAGAAACTTTTCAGTATCTTTGTAAGAAAAAGTACCAGGAAGCATTAAAAACAAACAGCAGTAGTGGTATGGTGTCACTAGGCAGTTAAAGGTGGGCTGCGAGTCTTTTTATGAAGATTTATTTGAAAGGCACAGACAGAGACAGAATCTTCTATCTCCTGGTTCCCAAATGGTTACTCTCCACCCAGGTCTCCCACATGGGTGGCAGGAGCGCAAGCACTTCAACCATCTGCTGCTGCTTTCCTAGGCGCTTTAGCTGGATCGGAAGTGGATGATGTCTCTTTAACTGTAGACTTGGTAGGCCCACCTTCCCAGGATGCAACGTATCCTATCCCAGGACCAAGGTGCTTGTGAAGACCCCACCCTGGCAGTATATCTGCTGGGGTACCACCCCCTTCCTTATAAAAAGAGGTGGAAGGCTGGAAGAACTACAGGGAACCCACTCAAATGGCTTGCTCTCATTTTCTTGACCAGACAGTCCTCCTGCTCTTGCTTAGAGGTACGTTTCCTGGTTTGTTCCCTCTCTTGTTTATGGGCATCAATTTGGCCCACTTGTGTTAGGTATTTCTCTGTGTAGGCCCCCACGCATGAATGTGTTTTTATTCTCTCAATGTTAAATAAATTCTGTTTCTATTTACGCACAATACTCACCTCTGTTTAGTGTTTCTACCTCTGCCAGAGACAAGAAACTGGGTTGGAAATGAATATATTCATTGCCTACTTCAGTAGTAAACTATACAAAAAGTAAATCTATACACATTGCTTTTTAGAAGATTCGTTTTATTTATTATTTGGAAGACAGAGAGGAGGAGACAGAACTTTCATCTACTGGTTCCCTCCCCAAATGGCCACAACAGCTAGGGCTGAGCCAGACTGAAATCAGGATCCTAGAACTCCATCCGGGTCTCCGGATGGCAGGAAAAGTTTTCAGGGTGGCAGGGGCCAAAGCGCTTGAGCGATCTTCTGCTGCCTTCCCAGGCATATTAGCAGGCAGCTGGATTGGAAGTGGAGCAGCTGAGATTCAAACATGGTGCTTGTATGGTTTGCTGGCCTGTGTCACAGGTGGAGGCTTTACCCACCGCACCACAGCGCTGCCCCTTAAACATTAATTGGTATTACATCCTAGATACACGGTTCAATGAATATTTTTAAGAATATTATTTAAAACAGTCTTAAAATTGTTTTTAATTTGAGAGAGAAAAAATGAACCAGATAGATTGTTCCCATTTGCTAGTTCACTCCCCAAATA